CACGAGTCTTATTTCCACTTCAGGAAAACTCAGAAACAACTAAGTAAAGACCTTTAAGATACTATGGGCATATTGCTCACTTGTAAGATAAGGAATATTACCCCTTTCGAGAACACATCCTTGAATTCCTCTGGTTTTATTGGAAGCATTGGAGGAGCTATATATTCTGTTCCATTGCATAAAATTTTATTTACATTGCGCAAATATTAACACTGGTTTTACATTGACTGGAGTAGGGTTCAAAAGGATTTCCCATGAAAGATGCCATGCTTCTTACTGGGTAATAACATTACTACTGTTTGTCCGAAACCTATAATATTAATTCATCCTTCCGGTGTTGGCCGATGACACTCAGGCAACATCCCAAGGTTGCTGGAGAGAATGTTGACCTATCCTTGGTCGACACCGATCTCGGAATAGCCACGTTGTTTTATGAGGCACACCGGCCGGAGCCTCTTAAATCAAGTGAACAGACCCGATTCAAGCATTCCTATTCCAGGTAGCAGGATTCCATATGTTCTCTGTTTCCGGTGCCCGAGACTGTCCTTCCGGGAGAACAACGAAGAGACCTACTTTAAAATTCGCTCTTGAGGCAGTCCATGGGTAAATCCTCTTTGGGGTCCATCCTTCAATGTATGAAGTTTAAAAAATATTATTTGATCTCACTGAGACTGGTAAAGGAGATATATGGCCGCCAATTTATGACAGGTTAGTGTTCCAACCAAGTTTAGACCTCAATTGATTAAATATATCTCATAATACGTCATAGTAGGCACATAGTGAATTACAAAAACCTTGTATAGAATCACAAAAGAAATTATTTGCCAAAATTAAAGAAAGATGAGAAGAATCAAATTATGTATTGTCCGAGAATGTCAGCAAGTAGGGAACCTGGGGACATTCCATTAAGACCTGCACCGTCTCGCAACCTATACCTGCGCTGGAGAAACGCTTTTTGCAGATATAATTATAGATTGTGTAGGTCCCACTACCTAGGTCAAAGTCCGGAATTCAATATTTTATTTACGATTATGAATAAAGTAACCAGATATCCTGAGCAATTCCCAAGCATAGGATTATACAAAAGCAAATCACAAAGCTTTAACAAAATTCAATTTCTTGTTTTGGCATTCCAAAAACTATCAAGAGTTATCAATGTACAAACTTCCCTGCCAACGCCATTTTAGGGAAGTATTAACTAGGTTTAGGGATCATCCACAACTTACCACGCCTATCATCCTCAGTCCCAAGGCGCCTTGGAAAGATTCCATTAGACATTAAAAACATGATTAACTTTTTTGGCATGCACTTTCCTAACAGACAGGATGAATCACTACCTTTGTTGTTCTCAAAACGAGTAGATGGGGCGGTGCAAGATTCTACAGGGTATAGTCCTTTGAGCTGATCTTTTGGCACAATGTACTAGGTCCTCTTCGGGTGCTCAAAGAAGGATGGATTGTCAGAAGACGTTAGCTCAACACTCTACAACCCGGTCATCAAGTTGTCAGTGGGCACGTTCAGTTAGCAAGGCTAACCTAAAGACAGCTCAAAGTAAGATGAAACAGAGGTATTACAGAATTGCACAATTCCCTGCTCCTTCCATCCAAGAGACAAGGTGTTGTGTAGGAACGCTAAACCATGGGCCACACCTAGTAAGCTAGATTTTACGGACCTATGCAGATTGTAAGTAGATTATCTGATGTAAATTATGTGTAGCTTTCCCATTGATAATACCCTCAAAAACTAAATTTACCACATCAATCAATTAAGTCTTTTCATACACCAGAAAAGTCCCAGTAAGAGACTCTGTCCTCTACTCTTGGACGACTCTGATTCTAGCACATTAACGCTCTGAAATTAATATAAACATTTCAAATTCAGTCCTCAAGGATCCTAGCCATGTAATGGAGGGATAATCTGAAACTCAAGCAACATATTGTAACGGAGCTTCTACATTCATATCTAATATTTTTCCGTGATTTGCCGAATGAATGTACGTTAGGTTTCATGAAATGTAGATGTGGTAAACTCTAAACCAATTAACTCTCCCCCTGACAGAGCTAATCCTGAAAGCAAAGGCTACTTTCAGCAGAAGTAGAAATTTTGATAAAGCCTGGTTTATGGGAGGAGTCATTAGTCCAGGGCTTCACCGGCGATCCTTGTGAAGAAGGCTGATGGAGTTTCGTATGTGTACAACAACCGTAAGGTGAAACGAGGTCACCATTACAGATGCTTATCTCTTCCTCGTCCTGGATGACTTAATTGACCTAGTTGGTGAATGCTACATTTGTTCCAAGTTAATCTCCATAATGCTACTATCCATGTTACCTTTTGACGGATAAGTCGAAGGAAAACTCTGGCTTCGGTAATTCCAGGAGGTCATTATCAATACATATACCCCCTTCGATAAGAAAGTTCCCCCTCTTCATTCCCGAACCTTATCCATCAGGCTATTAAAGGACTTGTAAGGGCACGGCAGCGAACCTAGATAATATTGTTGTGGTGTACTGATACTTGGGATAAACACCTACTTATACTTTAAGGCTCTTTTTGAGATCCGTTTAAGAGTTCCCATTACCAGTTAATTTATCTAAAATCATCCTATGGCCATGGGGGGGGGTGGGGGGGGGGGTGGGGGGTGGGGGGGGGGGGGGGGGGGGGGGGGGGGGGGCCACTATCACTTTCTAGGGCCATGAAGTAGGTAGTGGGTAAAGTTTTTGGCACCTAAACTTTGCTAAGTTGTTTTTGGCTATTTAAAGAATTATCCAGTTCCTTCAGATAGGAAATCGTCTTTGCAACGATCCTAGGCATTAAAGGATTTTACAGAAAGTTTCTGTAAGGAATATCATCAAATATTGTAGCCCCCTCTTACCTCTCAATACCAGTCACAAAGTTCCCTTTAATTGGGAACCTCGCCTGTAACAAAGCTTTTTATAAAGCAAAAATATTATTGTGTACTGCACCCATTCACTTCTCCAACTTCACCAAAACCTTTTTCATTACAGTTGATTCTTGTGAGTCTGGGGATTGGGGCGGTACTAGTAAAAACTAGAATGAGGAGTGCAGCCTGTAGCAATAACTTTTCAGCCATGTTCCAGCCACATCAGAGGCGTTACTCTACCATTGATAAAGAAGCCCGTTGCGCGCTGGTCTGGCCTTTGGAGTCATTTCGATGTTTATGTGGCCAGACATCGCAGTTGGTCACAGTCCAACAGTGATCACAAACCCTCTAGTATATTTACCAAGCCATGAATAACCACTACACAAGTCTCATACGCTGGACTCTAAGGCTGCAGCCCTATAAATATTCCATTAAATATATTTGCCGCAAAGAAAATATGTTTGGCGGACTCTTAGACAAGATCTAATATTTTGTATTTAATTTAGGTTAGGATGTTTTAATTTGTGGTAACCGCCTTTTAACGCTCTTTTTTTTATCCCCGGGTGTGGGGTTTTTTGTTTTAGAGATGGGATTCGGGCTACTGTCCACCCCATCAAAACTCCTGTATCTTGGACCTATGCAACCTTCTGACTGCTGTCTCACCTAAGTTATAGGTGTTTGCTTTTGGTCACAGAAAAGCTGAGCACATCAAAAGAGTTGGATGGTGGAAGGAAAGGCTGTCCCATTATTTTGTGCCATGGCGGCACGGTTACCACTGGGAGGAGGCAGCCTAATCCGAGCCTCTCGGGGTGGGGGTGTGGCATGCAAAGAGTAGTAACCTTCGCGCATGTACACACCCTCATTTACAGGCTATCTCCCCCCAACCCTCAACCAGGTTGGCCTAAGATTTGATGCTAGTGCCCGTCGTTCACAAGTGACCAGGTTCTAGCCCAATAAGTTAGTTTTGGCAATCGCAGAGGTTAATTGGGTACCGCTCTGCCTGTCTGCCTTGTCATTCCCATTCTAGAGCTGGATGAAGCACGTCTGCTATCTTGTGTGCTCTATTAACATGCCTTGCTTACCGTTGAGTGCACTATACTTATCACTGTACATAGGTGTACATATTGCTGTTCTAAATTGTTGAAGGATAATAAGTCTAAACTTTTCTGCTGTGTTTATTTTTCTCCCATAACACCCGGGATAACAGCCATTTGGATTCCTGGGTTGTAATAATGGGGAACATCATTTGATAAGTTGTAGACGATAGTAACACTTACTGTTACATTATTTAGACTTGATGATAGGTTGACAACATTACTGAACATTTGTTCAGAAGAACAGAGGTAAAAAAAGGCACAGGTGAAAACATACTTGACGTTCCTCCTCCCTTCGGCTAGATTGGAAGTTCATACTTGTCGTTTCCCCACCAGGAACACGACCACCACCTGGGCACCCACTATCAGCCTGCTGTCCTGTGTTACCTGGGTGTACGTCGTGCAGGTGAGACCTATTATCACACTTCTAGCACATCATTCCTCTTTTTTGAATAGGTAAAAATTTAGCTATCAGTTACGATTACCTTTTGATATAGACCAGTGTTAGAACAATTGCCCTGTTTCATGATTTATAAACACCTCCCACCACAACAACCAGAAATAACTGATTAAGAACCATGAATAATGGATTTACGTTAGATAAATTTAGATTTAAAAAGGCCATAGGTAAGTACTGGTTTTTCAGATTGTGGAGCGTGTAACAATCTTCCGAGTAGGTTAACAAGAGGCAAAGACCTTGGGTAGCTTTAACAAGGAGATTTGACAAGTATATGAATGGAGGGCTGTGTTCATTGTGTTTGTGAATGTGTAGGCTGCCCCAATTGTTGCCCCATGCCGCAAGTTTTAATTAACTTAAACATCCACCCACTTCCTCTCCAACCACATTTCATTCCAGCCACAATTTCCTTAACCACCAGTTTTCATAAATCACCTCTCCCCAGCTATCAGTTTCACAAGTCATCCCCCTCTCGCCCAACATAGCATTTCATACAATACTTCTCTTTGATAAGATTTTAAACTGCAGTCACATCTCCTAGAAACACCATTCTTTTGTTCTCACTGACCTTGACGAATAGGACACATGATCTTGAGGTTTGGTAGGTCGAGGAATCTGAGTCGTGTGAGGCCCAGAACTCCAACTGCAGATGGTTTCTCTTCCATGGCTGCACAAACACCTCTGCCAGCTGTTTCTGAACCCACCGCAAAACAACTTCAATAGGTTCCTGCCCCTCTGTTGCCACACGCAACAAAAATAAAAGTAAGTAATTAGGTCGAGAAATTATGTAAGAAAATAGTGTAAGTAATTAAATGGCTTATTCAAACTCATTTCAGTTTGTTTAGATTTCAATTTATCTACTGAATCAATTAAGATAAAATTCTGCACACAGCTAAGATAGCAAAATCTGGGTAATAGGTATTTTGATATCAGAATAATTTCGCGCACGGGGGGGGGGGGGGGGGGGGGGGGGGAGGGGTAAAAACAGAGTCGATAAATAAATTGAGGGAATCAAGCTGCTTCAGAGGCACATTAAAATTTAGCACTTGTAACCTGAACAATATGAGGAGGGAGGAACCACACGTGACTCGAACTGCAGCCTCACAGGCGTCAGGAAAGTATGCTAATATCACCACCACCAGTATTACAGAAAGTCAGCAAACCTTTCTACCTAATGGCACTGTTGTTTTACAGCCCCAATGAGATAGATTCTCAACTCTTAGCCCCACCTTTCCCTAGACAGTTACTGGGTTTCCTCTCCCCTAGCTCTGTCACTCATACTATACACATTCTTAAGCCTTGTTCTATCTAGGCTGGAATATTGCTGCGCACTAACAGCACCTTTCAAGGCAGGTGAAATTGCTGACCTAGAAAATGTACAGAGAACCTTCACGGCGCGCATAACGGAGATAAAACACCTCAATTACTGGGAACGCTTGAAGTTCCTGAACCTGTATTCCCTGGAAAATCCTAGAGGGACTAGTACCGAACTTGCACACGAAAATCACTCACAACGAAAGCAAAAGACTTGGCAGACGATGCAACATCCCCCCAATGAAAAGCAGGGGTGTCACTAGCACGTTAAGAGACCATACAATAAGTGTCAGGGGCCCGAGACTGTTCAACTGCCTCCCAGCATACATAAGGGGGATTACCAACAGACCCCTGGCAGTCTTCAAGCTGGCACTGGACAAGCACCTAAAGTCGGTACCTGACCAGCCGGGCTGTGGCTCGTACGTTGGTTTGCGTGCAGCCAGCAGTAACAGCCTGGTTGATCAGGCTCTGATCCACCGGGAGGTCTGGTCACAGACCGGGCCGCGGGGGCGTTGACCCCCGGAACTCTCTCCAGGTAAACTCCAGGTATGCATGGATCCTGCCTCTACCACTTCGCTGTCTAGGTCGCTCAACCAATCCAAATCAGTTTTTTTCCAATAACAGTTTGAGTGCAAGATACCACCTGATCATATTACAATGTTTCTGTCAACCTTCTACCCGAGATGACGCTGAGAATTCTGTAAAAAGTAATTTAGGGCAATCATGAAGACTATCACACATGTATGACTATATATAAGTTATTTATTATATGGTTATTTAGTGGTAGCATGTTTGTGTTACACCCGCTGGGGGTCAGTTCAAGTCCACGTAATGCCTCTGGTTTAACTTAAGCATCAAGCTGATTGGGACTGATAACAAAAAAAAGGCACAATACCGTGACTGGAACGATACGCATATAACCCGCATAAATGGTCCAAGTCGGACCGAAACGTCGTCGCAAGCTCCTCTCTTCTATGTGAGGGTTATTTGTGTATGATTGGGATTGGTTGGTGCAGTGGATAAAAAGTACAGTTATTTATGCAGTTAAACATAAATTTCTTTAGCCACGATTAGTTGTTAGTCCCGGTTAAAGAAATTACTTGCAATACCTGTTTATTAAATAATATGAAACCTGATCAGTCTGGGTATGAAAGATGTATTAAATGGGCCATGTTTGAAACCAAGGCAACGGTGTATAAGTGTTCACATTAAGACTTATAGACTGAGTAGCTTCTTTCTAAGATGTATGAGCACAGGAATCTGAAGAGTCTTACTACATAAGAGTTTTACACAATTGGAAAAGAATAACTATATTAATACTCTTTCGGAGAAAATTGTCGAAGAAGAGAGAATAAAAACACTAATCTTACACTTCCTTAAAAAGCACAGAAAGAGATTGAGGAGGAAGCGAGTTTATACAAGGGTAAATGGAAGACAATGAACATATAAAGTGCTGAAGAAAGATATTATAAAGACAGAATTTCCAACAATGACATTAAATGGACAAACTGATGTTTCGAATGAACATATTAAAGCAACGTTAGGTGAGATTTGTAGATGTGTAGAAAGATTATTAATAAGCATTACTTAAGGAAATAAAGTGAGTGGCTTTACCTGGACCTGGAGTTTACCTGGAGAAGGTTTCGGGGGTAAACGCCCCCACGGCCCGGTCTGAGACCAGGCCTTATGGTGGATCAGGATCTGATCAACCATCTTTAAATATGAGTTAGATGAGATGATAGATGAGCAACAGTTCAATAGGCCAGTAGGCCTATTGCAGTGTTGCTGATGCACCTACCTGTAGGTTTGAGAGTAGCATCATGGATGATGTAGTGGTGATATTTATTGCACCAGGCACAGGTTTGTTGTTGATTTCAATGTATGAACTTTGACAGTGGGAGTACAGGAAGAGACTTGATGCTTCTGTGTCGTTAGCAAGAAGAAACTCGATGGTGGCTGGGTTGGAGAGCAGCTGTTGTTGTGTCACCTGAGCAGGAAACACCAGGTCCTCTTGTTAAATATGTAACGCAGAAAACAATGTATATGAAGACCTGCTGGTCAATGGGAACAGAGAAAATATTCTCACACTACAGGTCAAGAGGAGGAGAGTCAAGGTCAAGGGCTGTATATCTTGTTTGTTAGTAAATGAGGGTCGTCAAGGACTGTATATCTTGTTTGTTAGTAAATGAGGGTCGTCAAGGACTGTATATCTTGTTTGTTAGTAAATGAGGGTCGTCAAGGACTGTATATCTTGTTTGTTAGTAAATGAGGGTCGTCAAGGACTGTATATCTTGTTTGTTAGTAAATGAGGGTCGTCAAGGACTGTATATCTTGTTTGTTAGTAAATGAGGGTCGTCAAGGACTGTATATCTTGTTTGTTAGTAAATGAGGGTCGTCAAGGACTGTATATCTTGTTTGTTAGTAAATGAGGGTCGTCAAGGACTGTATATCTTGTTTGTTAGTAAATGAGGGTCGTCAAGGACTGTATATCTTGTTTGGTTCTCTTGATGTTTTTGAGTGATTCTTGAAGCAAGGAATTAAGACTACCCTCTCCCTCCCCCATCCATATGAATACTGATAAATGGTTCAAAGAACCAACAAGTTGATAAATTAGACACATATGCAACACTTGGGTATCTTTACTGAGGAAACGTTTCGCCACACAGTTGCTTCATCAGTCTTGTATGGACTGATGAAGCCACTGTGTGGCGAAACGTTTCCTCATTAAAGATACCCAAGTGTTACATATGTGTCTAATTTATCAATATAAATACTGATAATCTATAACAATAATATGTGATAATATGTGATGGTATCTATAGTAGCATCGATGTTGGTGAAGAGCTCTTGATCCATGTAACTGGAGGTGTCCTCTCCTTGCTTCGATCAACCGTGATTACATTACATTCCCCAGCCGCTGTATGACACCTGTGGGTTTAGCGCTTCTCCGCGAACAAAATCATAATTGGCAACAGTGTACTGTTGCTTGCTAGATACAGACACCAAACTCAAAAACATCTGCTAGCTGTGATAACAGATTTATTTTTTTATTTATTTATTTGAAGCGCTAAATCCGTGTGGGTCATTCATCGAAAAGTGGTGGAGGCTCGATCCACCATCCACTAATCAACTAGTCATCGAAAAGTGGTGGAGGCTCGATCCACCATCCACTAATCAACTAGCCAGACGAAGAGAGTAGAATCTATGATAACCAGAACGGGTGAATCACCCGTTCTCGTTATCATAATGATGATAACTTACCGTCTTGACCGATTAATCAAACAAACAATAAATCGATCAAGAATAGTGGACAAACTTGCTTGGAGTTTAGGGATGTAGGAGGTGTAGCGGAGGATGTTGTCCTGGATGGTACGCAGGTGTTGTACAACAGTGTGCTGGACACTCAGTGACTGCTGACTTACGTTAAACCTCTGATCAAATACTTCCAGCACACGTCCTCCAGTCTCCTCCGCCAGGCTCTGAAAACACAGTGATTGTTATATTATACTGCCTTATAAGGTTACTTTATTAGGTTGGTTTATTAAGTTGACCCGAAATGTTGTTCAAGCTAGGGACTTTCTGAATTATTTGTATATTTTGTACTGAAGCGATTGGAAATTTAATTCTAAAGGCCATCTGTTGCACAAAACTCGTCAAAGATACATACTGCCTAATATAGAGATAAAAGTAAATTCTAAGTGTATACATACTGAGAAATATATCGCTCCAAGTATACATGAATAATAATAATAACAATAATAATTATAATAATAATAATAATAATAATAATAATAATAATATCTTTATTATGCAACCCATACCCATCCTGTGGGTATGGGCCAATGATTACAAAAAGCACATAATTGGTCCAGGAATTAGGTCAATGGTGCATAATGGGTCCAGGAATTAGGAGGTCAATGGCACATAATGGGTCCAGAAATTAGGAGGTCAATGGCACATAATGTGTCCAGGAATAAGGTCAATGGTACATAATGGGGCCAGGAATTAGGTTAATGGCACATGATGGGTCCAGGAATTAGGAGGTCAGTGGCACATAACGGGTCCAGGAATTAGGTTAATGGCACATAATAGGTCCAGAAATTAGGTCAATGTTAACCTCCAAGAAGACAAACCAAGTTTTCCAGTGGGCAACGGAAAACAATATGATGTTCAATGAGGACATTCCAACTACTCCGTTATGGAAAACTGGGGGAGATAATAACTAGAACAGAGTATACTACAAACTCTGGCCATACAATAGAGCGGAAAAATAATGTAAGAGACCTGGGAGTAGTAATGTCTGAGGATCTCACTTTCAAGGATCACAACAGTGCCACGATCACAAGTGCAAAGAAAATAATAGGATGGATAATGAGAACGTTCAAAACGAAAGATGCCAAGCCAATGATGATCCTTTTCAAATCACTTGTTCTCTCTAGGCTGGAATACTGCTTTACATTAACATCTCCGTTCAAAGCAGATGAAATTGCAGATCTAGAGAGTGTACAGAGATCCTTTACTGCACGTATAAGTTCTGTCAAGCACCTTAACTACTGGGAACGCTTGGAAGCACTTGACTTGTACTCGTTGGAACGCAGGAGGGAGAGATATATCATAATCTACACTTGGAAAATCTTGGAAGGAATGGTCCCAAATCTGCACACAGAAATCACTCCCTACGAAAGTAAAAGAATGGGCAGGCGATGCAAAATAACCCAATTAAAAGTAGGGGCGCCATCGGTACACTAAGAGAAAACACCATAAGTGTCCGGGGCCCAAGACTGTTCAACACCCTCCCACGAATCATAAGAGGAATTGCCAATAAACCCCTGACTGCCTTCAAGAGAGAGCTGGACAGATACCTAAAGTCAGTGCCGGATCAGCCGGGCTGTGGTTCGTACGTTGGACTACGTGTGGCCAGCAGTAACAGTCTGGTTGATCAGGCCCTGATCCACCGGGAGGCCTGGTCATGGACCGGGCCGCGGGGGCGTTGATCCCCGGAATAACCTCCAGGTAAGCGAGACATACTTTTTAATATTCCAGAATTTATAGAAGATCTTTCTAACACATGACTGACCGATGCTGAACCTATAAGAACTCTTAACTCTTCTAAATTGTTGACAAGTTTGTAAAATAAAATACTCTGAAAACAGAAGACTTTAACAGTGCTAGAGGATATTCGGCTCAGACTCGGCTTCTCTCTCAACATTTTAAAGCGACCTAAAGTTCTAGTTTCAGCGAGGTTATCTTACAGTTTGTTCCACTTGTTTACAACTCTATTGCCACACCACTGCTTTCCTGTATAATTTCTAAATATATTTTTTTCCAACTTGAATGAAAAGAGTAAACAAGAACGAAAGTCTGCTGGTCTAGAAAAAAGTCTGTGACTGGGCGAAACGTTGTCAGAAACTGTCTTTTCCTATTTTTCCTTAATAAGTTCTCACGCCTGTTTTTTCTTCCAGTCTGTTTATATATATATATATATATATATATATATATATATATATTTTATATATATATATATATATATAAAATTATATACATACACGAGCTTTTAAATCTCTGCACAAAATTCAATTTAAAACCAGCAAATAATAGAGCCTACTAGACTGGAGAATACACTAGGGCCTCATTTTCACTAACAATGATGATCTAATAAGAAATGTCACCATATCAAAAACAATATACTCAGATCACAACATAATTGAGGTTCAGACATGTATGCGTGGAGCCCCAGACCGACATAATGAGATTAGTCCCCGAGGGAGCATTCACCAAATTCAACTTCAATAACAAAAATAAAGTGAGACCAAGTAAACAAGTCCTAACCGATATAAGCTGGGAAGATATACTAAGCAACAACAGACCCCAACTTATGCCTAGAACAGATTAACTTGGTGGCACTCGATGTATGCACAAGGCTTATTCCTCTAAGAAAAAGGAGGAGTAGATGTAAAATAGAAAGAGACAGGCGCTCCCTTTACAGGCGATGGAAAAGAATAACAGAGCGGCTAAAAGAGGTCAATATATCTGAAATGCGTAGGGAGACACTGGTCAGAGAAATAGCAAGCATCGAACTTAAGCTAAAGGAATCTTATAGGAGTCAGGAATCGCGGAGGAACTAAAAGCCATAAATGAAATCGAAAGAAACCCAAAGTATTTCTTCTCCTATACCAACTCAAAGTCGAGAACAACATCCAGTATTGGGCCCCTACTTAAACAAGATGGGTCCTACACAGATGACAGCAAGGAAATGAGTGAGCTACTCAAGTCCCAATATGACTCAGCTTTTAGCAAGCCGCTAAACAGACTGAGAGTCGAAGATCAAAATGAATTTTTTATGAGAGAGCCACAAAATTTGGTTAACACAAGCCTATCCGATGTTATCCTGACGCCAAATGACTTCGAACAGGCGATAAATGACATGCCCATGCACTCTGCCCCAGGGCCAGACTCATGGAACTCCGTGTTCATCAAGAACTGCAAGAAGCCCATATCACGAGCCTTTTCCATCCTATGGAGAGGGAGCATGGACACGGGGGTCGTCCCACAGTTACTAAAAACAACAGACATAGCCCCACTCCACAAAGGGGGCAGTAAAGCAACAGCAAAGAACTACAGACCGATAGCACTAACATCCCATATCATAAAAATCTTTGAAAGGGTCCTAAGAAACAAGATCACCACCCATCTAGAAACCCATCAGTTACACAACCCAGGGCAACATGGGTTTAGAACAGATCGCTCCTGTCTGTCTTAACTATTGGATCACTAGGACAAGGTCCTAAATGCACTAGAAGATAAAAAGAATGCTGATGTAATATATACAGACTTTGCAAAAGCTTTCGACAAGTGTGACCATGGCGTAATAGTGCACAAAATGCGTGCTAAAGGAATAACAGGAAAAGTCGGTCGATGGATCTATAATTTCCTCACTAACAGAACACAGAGAGTAGTCTTCAACAGAGTAAAGTCCGAGGCAGCTACGGTGAAAAGCTCTGTTCCACAAGGCACAGTGCTCGCTCCCATCTTGTTCCTCATCCTCATATCCGACATAGACAAGGATGTCAGCCACAGCACCGTGTCTTCCTTTGCAGATGACACCCGAATCTGCATGACAGTGTCTTCCATTGCAGACACTGAAAGGCTCCAGGCGGACATCAACCGAATCTTTCAGTGGGCTGCAGAAAGCAATATGAAGTTCAACGATGAGAAATTTCAATTACTCAGATATGGTAAACACGAGGAAATTAAATCTTCATCAGAGTACAAAACAAATTCAGGCCACAAAATAGAGCGAAACACCAACGTCAAAGACCTGGGAGTGACATGTCGGAGGATCTCGCCTTCAAGACCATAACATTGTATCAATCGCATCTGCTAGAAAAATGACAGGGTGGATAATGAGAACCTTCAAAACTAGGGAGGGCCCAAGCCCATGATGACACTCTTCAGGGGCACTTGTTCTATCTAGGCTGGAATAATTGCTGCACACTAACAGCACCTTTCAAGGGGAGTGTGAAAAATTTCTGACCTAGAAAATACAGAGAACCTTCACGGCGCGCATAACGGAGATAAAACACCTCAATTACTGGGAGCGCTTGAGGTTCCTGAACCTGTATTCCCTGGAACGCAGGCGGGAGAGATACATGATTATATACACCTGGAAAATCCTAGAGGGACTAGTACCGAACTTGCACACGAAAATCACTCACAAAGAAAACAAAAAACTTGGCAGACATGCAACATCCCCCCAATGAAAAACAGGGGTGTCACTAGCACGTTAAGAGACCATACAATAAGGTGTCAGGGGCCCGAGACTGTTCAACTGCCTCCCACACACATAAGGGGGATTTTCCAACAGACCCCTGGCAGTCTTCAAGCTGGCACTGGACAAGCACCTAAAAATCGGTTTCCTGACCCGCCGGGCTGTGGCTCGTACATTGGTTTGCGTGCAGCCAGCGCAACAGCCTGGTTGGTCAGGCTCTGATCCACCAGGGGCCTGGTCACAGACCGGGGCCGCGGGGGCGTTGACCCCCGGAACTCTCTCCAGGTAAACTCCAGGTGTGTGTTTTGTTGTGTGTGTGGTGTAGTGTGGTGTGTGTTGTGTGTGTGTGTGAGTTGTGAGTGTGTCTTTTGTTGTT